TCTACAAGAGCTAGTTCCAGGACAGTCACCAAAGCCACAGAGAAACCCTGTCTTAAAAAACTACCCCCCCCCAAAAAAAAGAATCAGCATGTCTACCCAAGCAACAAGGACTTTTTTTTTGTTTTTTGAGACAGGGTTTCTCTGTGTAGGCTTGGCTGTCCTGGAACTCACTCTGTAGGCCAGGCTGGTCTCGAACTCATAGCGATCCACCTGCTTTGCCTCCCATGCTGGGATTAAAGGCTGTGCCACTATCGACAACCAGACTTTTCAATTAGGATTTATTTTATATGCATGAATGTTTTGCCAGCATGTATGTGTTTGTTTGTGCCTGGTGCCCACCAAGGCCAGAAGAGAGCATCAACTCCTCTGGAGCTGGAGTTACTGATGCTTGTGAGCTACAGTGTGGGTGCTGGGAACTGAACCGGGTCCTCTGCAAGAGCAACACGTGCTTTTAACTGCTGAGTCACCTCTCCAGCCTCAAAGAATTTTTCAGAACACTTTACAGAAGTAAAGCTGAGACAAAGATCAAGGATATTACACTGTGAATGGGTCTGCCTAATTATGTGTACCTCTTGCCCCAATTCTTTTATTTAAACCTAAAGCCCAACTCAATCCCCAGAGTCAAACAGGTTCTTCTTCCCAGAGTACTAAATCTCTGCTTTTGCACAGCAATCAGTCTCTCCAATTGTCTTGCTGGGATGGGTTGCCAAGGCTAGCCTGACTGGATTGCTAGAATTAAGGGACTTTTCCCTAAAGCTCTGGTTATGAGACTCCTTAGCTGGGTGCCCCCTCTTGAATAGGCCTAGGGAAGACTCTTGTTAGCTCCTCCCCACAAGGTCCTCGTTTGGATACTTGGCCTTGTGCTTGGTACAAAGATGCACTGTAATATGTTTTACTAGATGAGTAAGATCCTTTTCCCTCCTACCCACCCCCAGGTGAAGCGGCTGCTGACTTTAGAAACCCAAGAGAACTGGAATGAGTCCAGATTGGAATTGTACACACTGCCTCTGCAGAGAAAGCAGGCTCCCTCCTCTGCTCCAGCCAGGCCTTAAAGCAGCCATTTCTAAAGAATTTTCATTCTCTGTGACTAAAATACACCGTTTGGGAATCCACAGCTGGCTAGTTCCCAGGCATCCTAGGTGGGAAAGTAAGGCATCCTCAGCCAGAGGAAAAGGACGAAGTCCTTAAATAGGGAAGCTGCCCATTTGACTTTAGCATCCTGTCCTTGGAAGTTACTGAGATACATTAAAAATCCATTTCTAAAAGTCCTAGTAATGTGCCTGGGACCGGGACCTGTGAGCTGGCGCAGGCACTGGATAGAAGGGAAGTACGCCTAACACTAAGCTCTTGCAAGGCTAGAATGAATCGCCAGCTAACCCCTCCCAACAAAAGGGATGACCCCGTTTTACAGGTAGGAAACACAAGATCAGTGATGTTACAATAGCTTACCAGGAAAAACAACACACACAAGGCCTCAAAGTAGTGTACAAGTCCAGGTACAACATGGGGCTGTCTGCTTGTTTCTTAGAGAGATTTGTAAGTTCGAGGCCAGTCTGGTCTACAAACCAAGTTTCAGGATAGCCAGGGCTTCACAGAGAAACCCTATCTCAAAAAGCAAACAAACAAAAGATTGTTTCAAGGAGTTGGGGGACAGGTATTTTCAACCTGGAGCTCAGATGTGTTTTCCATTAGATTTCATTATATGAGATTCTAAGAAAGTCCATTTCTCCCCAGCCTTCACTCTGCAGAGTCCAGTGAAGCTTGTAATGTTTTGTAGCCTTGAGGATCTAGCAGTCAGACCATCTCCTGTAACTCTCACCAGGATAGAACAAATGTTAAGAGCCATTTCCACTTCCCAGAGCAGAGTAACAAAGCCTTCAGGCTCCAGCGGGGGATAAATCATGAGCTAGGTCAGTGGTAGAAGTGCTCCAAAGTGACAGAACCCAGTTGCTTCCTGTTTAGGAGATAAGCCTGACTCACCTCTCGGCAGCGATGAGAACAGGAACAGGACCGAATCCTGCTGCCATTCTGCCTGGAGCAGTCCTGTGGCCTTGGGCAAAGCATGCTCTCTAGGTCCTTAGCCTGATATTGCTAAGAGTCACGAGCTGGCTGGCTCCTAAGTTTGTTGAAGGCAATATGCTACCAATTAATGAAACGAGTCCTGCTTCCACACACTGATAAGTAAGATGTCTGGGTAACCAGAAGACCACTTGCCAGGTTTTGAAATGGAGTGCACGTAACACTGCCCACATGCTATGGTAGCAATGTGTGTGTGTGTACACACACACGTGTGCATGCATTTATTTACCTGTGAATCTTCACACTGTTATACACCCCTGACCCCACACTCACTGACCAGTGTTACTATATTTTCCCTGATAGAACTCAGCAATAAACAGTTCTACAACCAGAACATCAGTCTTCCTGGAAAATTCTGTTCATACTCACAGCAGTTTGCTTGGGAAATCCTGACCTGCTGAGCACAGTATCTGAAGTCAGAGCTTTTTATTTCTCCAAATAGAGTCACCATTTTTTTTTTTTAGCTTTTTAACTACATTGGCTTGAGTGTGTGTGTGTGTGTGTGTGTGTGTGTGTGTGTGTGTGTGTGTGTGTGTGTGTGTGTTTAATTTTTTTTTCCAAGACAGGTTTCTCTGTATTGTCTTGGAGGCTGTCCTGGAACTAGCTTTTGTAGGCCAGGCTGGTCTTGAACTCAGAGATCCACCTGCCTCTGCCTCCTGAGTGCTGGGATTAAAGGCATGTGCCACCAACGCCCGGCTTGTATGTATATATTTGTATGTGTAGGCAAGTATGTATCACAGCACACATGTGGAAGTCAAGGACAGTTTGTGGGATCTCTCTCCCCCACTGTGAGATGGAATTCAGGTTATCAGGCTTGGTGGCAAGTCCCACCCCCTGGCAGAACATTTTAATTAAGAGTATCTGCAACCTGTTTTTGTGATGTTTTTAGTTTTTTGGTTGTGTTCTGTTTTGAGGTGAGAGTCTTGACGTGTAGCCCTGGCTGGCCTGTAACTGGCAAACCCTTCTACTTCTGCCTCTTGTGAGCAGGTATCACAGACACTGATGCATGTCCTGAGAGGCTGGTAAGGGGAAGAGAGTTACAGTGTATCTAGAACAAGCTCTAGAGCTAGTCTAGAGTCTAGAGAGTTGGCTCAGTGGCTAAGAACACTTCATGTATGCTGGAGAGATGACTCAGAGGTTGAGAGCACTGGCTGCTTTCCCAGAGGGCCTGAGTTCAATTCTCAGCAACTACTTGGTGGCTCACAACCATCTATAGAGAGATCTGGTGCCTTCTTGTGTTTGAGCAGGCAAAACACTGTATACAAAATAAATAAATCTTTAAAGAATTTTTAAAAATAACACTTGATGCTCTGTAGAAGACCTAGGTTCAGAGTCTCTAGGTTCAATTCCTAGAACCCACATCGGGGTTCACAACCCTCTTAATGCCAATCCCAGGAGGCCTGAAATCCTCTCTGACCACAAAGGGCACCAGCACATACTCACACAATAAGATAGTAACATAAACCTATTTCTTAAACAAAGATAGCTATTCTACAGGAAGACACTGATTCTCAGAGAAGTTCTCAGAGAAACAACAGCATTATTGTCAGAAATGATAAGGTGCAGTCAAAAGCTTCACTCCTTATCTACAGGAGGAAAAAACCTGACGCAGAGTCTAGTGATTAGTGCTCAGAAACCCTGACTCAGAGACCCTGATGAGCACAGTTTGAGAAACAGTGACTTAGCTGAAGATTTGACAGAGTTTACAATGGGCAGGACAGCCGGTGCTTGTGTAACTGCTCAGCAACTCCAACGCAGCACCAGCAGTCAGAGGAAACACTAAGTAGATGATCATGACTCTCTTCCAAGAAACCTTTTCTGCAACCAGAAAATAAATAAGAAGTGGTAGTTAACACAGTACTGTGAGTATACTATAGAACACTGAAATGTGCACTTTAAAATGGCTAATTTAGATTGTATTATTACGCTTACTTGTGTGTGTTTGTGTGATCCAGAGGTCAGCAAACAACTTTCAGGAGTTGGTTCTTTCTACCTTGTGAGTCCCAGGAACCAAACTAAGGTCACCAGGCTTGGCAGCAAGCATCCTTACCCACTGAGCCATCCTTGCAGTTCCAATCACTAGTTCCGTGGTATATAAATGTCACCACAGTAAGCTATAAACAAAAATAGGGCTGGGTATGGTGGAGCACGCCTTTAATCCCAGCTCTTGGGAGGCAGAGGCAGGCAGATCTCTTTGAGTTCTAGGACAGCCAAGGCCTCATAGTGAGACTGTTGAAAAAACAAACAAAAAACCAAAAATAGGCAAAAGTAGGATTTAATTCATAGTTTGCTGACACCCAATCAAGATCAATTTTTTGAGCTTGCAATACTCCTACAAGTATTTGAACTTCAGCCTCCTGAATACTGGGATGATACATGCCACCACACTTAGCAAATATCTTGTATGTATGTATGTATGTATGTATGTATGTATGTATGTATGTAGATTTAGTCTCATGTGACCCAGGTTGGCCTTGAACTCACTTTGTACCCGTGAATGACACTGAACTCCTAATCTTCCTGCCTTTCCCTCCTAAGCACTGGGAGCACAGGTATATATTATCACAACTGGTCAAATCTTTTTCTTTATATAAAGAACCCAGTCTCAGGAACTTCATTATAGCAATTAAAAAAAAAAAAAACAGATGGCCAGGCGTTGGTGGCGCACGCCTTTAATCCCAGCACTCAGGAGGCAGAGGCAGGCGGATCTCTGTGAGTTCGAGGCCAGCCTGGTCTACAGAGCGAGTTCCAGGACAGCCTCCAAAACAATACAGAGAAACCCGGTCTCGAAAAACCAAAAAAAAAAAAAAAAAAAAAAAACCCAAAAAACAGATGAATATAGAATTCACTTATGTTGTAATCTCTAATTCATTATAAAATTCCATGCCATATCCTTTTAAAAAATGAGTTCACACTGACCATAGTGGCATACACCTTTAATCCCAGCATTCGGAGGGTGGGAATTGGAGGAGGGTGACAGACCCTCATCTATACAACAAGTTTCAAAACAGCCAGGGTACATAAGAGCCCTTGACTCAAACAAATAATTAGTTAACACCAAATCACTTTAAAGGATGAATTCACTCTAATTGAAAAAGTATTGTGGAATGAGAACATGTTTAGACAAGGAAAAACAGAATTCTTTAAAGATCAACTACTGGGTAACTGCTACACACACAGTGGTCACAGCAGATTTTTATTAGGTGGAGAAGACCCTAGGTTTTCCTAAGGTTAAGTGGTAGCACAGCATGTCACAGACACAGGAGACACTCGTAGTATGAGTATCCACTCCTGCTTATGACTCATCATGCAGGAAGAACTCTGAGTACCAGAGTGACATGAAAGGCTGCGGTGTTCAGTTCAGCTTGGCCAACAATTCTTCCAGTTCTGGCCGAGCTTTGAACCTTCCCTTGAAGTCTTCTTCAGAGTGCTGGAACAAGGAAGAGAAAACAAATGGCAATCACTACAGAACTTTTATTACCCAAACACACGCAAATCCAAAAAGGGCCCTTGGGTAGCTCTGCAGAGGGTCATTCACAGTCAGCCCTTTCTCAATGAGTATGTCGTGAACTGGGTACCAGGTTTCAAGACTGAATCATACTTCCTCTTAGTGTGCTGAGATAAGACAGACATGTAAACAGGATGCTATAGGTATCACAACACAAGTTTCTGACTATTTTTGGTTTTTATTTGGTTTTACGTCCTGTTGGGGACCAGGGCCTTCCACATATGAGGTAAACACTACCCCTGAGCCATATGGTCTAGAACTTTGTTTTTTAAATCGCATTATTTTGTGTTTGTGCATGCATGTGCATGTGTATCCACGTGGAAGTCAGAGAGCAACATCTGGGAGTCAGTTCTACCAATTCCATGTGGTCCTGGGAATTGACCTCAGGCTATCAGGTTTTGCAAACACCTTTATCTGCTGGGCCATCTCACCAGCCTTGTTTGCTTTTTTTGAGACAGGATCTAGGTATGTAGACCAGCTGACTCTGAACCTGCCATGTAGACCAGGCTGGCCTCAAACCTCAATCTTCCTGCTTCTGCCTGCTGCGTGCTGGGATTGCATGCACAGGGACTGTAGTATTTTTAGCACAACCAGCACATTCTCACCCCATACACAGATCTCTGTGAAACTGAAATAACCACAAGACAGGTATGGACAGAACAAGGGGAGCTGGATGAAGCAATGACACCAGGCTAACATGACCTAATGGGAACTGTGTCGGAAGAAGGATTGCCATGGCAACTAGACCCGACACCCAGTATTTAGGCTAATGTTGCTATTTCTGCATGCTTCTCATTCTTTACCAGACACATTCAATGGAGCTATAATCATAACTTGGCGGTCTAGAAAGTGTCTCTCTAAGGTAATGCTCTCATGCAGTGGTTCTCAACCTGTGGATCGTGACTCCTTTGGGAGTCAAATGACCCTTTCACAGGGTTTACCTAAGACCGTCAGAAAACACAGATACTTACATTACGGTATATAACAGTAGCAAAATTACAGTGATGAAGGAGCAATGAAAATAATTTTATGGCTGGGGTCACCACAACATGAGGAACTGTATTAAAGGGTCTCAGTGTTAAGAAGGTTGAGAATCACTGCATTATACTGTTTATAATCTTAAAACATGTTTCTGTTTTACGCTGCTTGAAAGGAGAGAATCTGGGGGTCATGGGCTCAGTCCCTAACATCAGGATGCTGTGATGGAGGCTAGCTGCTGTGGGACACACAGTATCATCCCTGACACCTCAGAGACCTCAGAGTAATGGTCACAGGGCCACCAGACTGCACACTCTCCTGACAGCAGCTGAAACACACATTTCTCTGTTGAGCACACGTAGGCCAACAGGGCCCCTTTCCACACTGTACCTACCTCCCTCACTGACAACTGGACTCCTTCTGGAAGGTTGCTCTGGAGTATTTCCAAGAAAATCTCTGCAAACGTGGCACTCAGACCGCTGATCTGCAAATGAAGAAAGATGCCTAAAGGAGGGCACTGGAGGCCGGGAGACTGGCACGCAGGCCTGGGCTCCCCTGCAGCTCTAGTGTGGGTGAGGCTGATACTCAGAGCAGGCCTCTGAACCCAGTCCCCGCAGGACGTCTCTTGCTATTTGTTGAGATGTTTGCTTGCCAGTGTTCCTGTAGGCAGGGACTGTCACAAACAGACCAATACTGATTTTCTGAAGCAATTTGGGTTTACCACACTGGCCAGGTGCTGGTGCTAGGCCTGTCTTGAGAATCCAGAGGTGAGTCAGATGTGTGGAGGAAAGGAACAGTACTGTGAGGACCCACAAGAGAAATAACCACTTAACTCAGTCAAGGAAAGGTCAAAGAAAGCTTCAAGAGTGGGTAATGTCTGGGAGAAGTCTTAGAGGAAAACGGGATTAAACTGGGAGAATTAGACACGGTCAGTTTTTAGGGCTGAGGGTGCAGCATTCAGTGCAATGCAAACTGCATAACAGCATTAGAAAATCCAGATAAGCCGGACGGTGGTGGCTCATACCTTTAATCCCAGCACTCGGGAGGCAGAGGCAGGCAGATCTCTGTGAGTTCGAGACCAGGCTAGACCGACAGCCTCCAAAACAATACAGAGAAACCCTGTCTCGTAAAACCAAAAAAAAAAAAAAAAAATCCAGATAAGGGGCTGGAGAGATGGCTCAGAGGTTAAGAGCACTGATTGCTATTCCAGAGGTCCTGAGTTCAATTCCCAGCAACCACATGGTAGCTCACAACCATCTGTAATGAGATCTGGTGCCCTCTTCTGGCGTGCAGACATACATGGAGGCAGGATGCTGTATTCATAATAAATAAATAAATTTAAAAAAAAAAAGAAAAAATCCAGATAAGTTTCTGTGGCTGGAGTGAAAGGGACATCAAGGAACAGCAGGGGGACAAACAAAGGCACAAGTGCTACAGAAGTCCTACTTCACCCTATGGGCCTCAGAGGCAAGTAAGAGCCACCTAGGGTACATCACAAGTAAATTACTATTTATTTAAAGACTTCAAAATTTCCAAGTCATTTTAAAATTTGCATATTTAGATTTGGGTGTTTCTCCCTCAACATTTTACTATCTTGCTGAGAAGACTCTTCAGTGGATTAAAAAGGGAAATAAGATGGAAATGTAAATAAAATTCCATACAATGGAATATTACTTGGCCATGAAATTATAGAAGCGCCATACTGAACAAGTATCAGAAGACATAGGAGTAAGTATTGGGCTCGAAGGATTACAAAGAGGGAAGTGTCCTGAACAATTAATTTTCCATATAATGAGGTAATGAAGTCATTGTAGAGCATCCACAAAAGTCCACTAGACAACCAGGTCTACTGTATTTGAAGCTCAGCCAAAAGATCAGGTAGGCATATGTGTGTGTGCGCGTGCATGCATACACCTAGGGGTATTGGTATACAATGAAGCTTGGGGAATGAATACAGTTTCATAACAGGAGAGGTGGAGGAGTCTAGAGTAAACCATCATTTAAAGGCAGGAAGGACGAGGGGAAAAAGGTACAGCAGATGGAGAAAAAGATAGAAGGAGGGAACCAGAGAAGCAAATGTACTTGGGGATCCCCCAGAGCACCTACCTGAACCACTCGCTCATGGGTGGTAAGGACTGAGTCTAGGATCATTTTGTTGCCTTGGTCTGGTAGCCGCATCACCTCTATGGTTTTGGTGGGCATTGCATAACTGCAGAAGAAGAGTTAGCTGTTGAGAGTGTCCACTCAAGCCAGCAGTACCACGTCTACCAGGGTCACCTGTGAGTACAATTACTGCTCTGTGTCACATCTCCGAGAGGATGCTTACCTGTAGCCAATGTCGAGTTAAACATGCACATTTACCTTGTCCAGACATCTCTGAACTTCAGTGCCTTTCAATGTCCCGTTGACACTGCCTAATACAATACCCTAAATGTAACCCTGGTACAATGCATGCCTGCTGCTACTGAAGAAGAGCCTGCTCTAAGGGAATCCAGCCCAGCATGTAGGTATTCTTTGAAGGTGAGCCCAGATCACTGTGCTTGCTCTGGAGAAATAAGGTGACATACCCAATAATTTTCGAACAGTTTTTTCAATGTCAGCATTGGTAACATTCCAGACCAGGCAATTCTCATTGTGAATGCTGGCCTATGTATTCTAACCTCTACACACTGAATGCCACAAGGACCACTCCAGTGGGACAGATGATTTCAGTCACCTAGGTTGGGAATCACTACTGCCAAGTCTATGCTTGCTCTCTTAGCTTCAGCAGGCCAAGCTCTACAGGGAAAAGAACAGTGTGTTTGGAGTCCACCAGGTATCAGCAATATGTGCTTGGATAAGGCACTCTCCCCTATGAGCTTCACGTGTAAATGAAATTACAGTCTGAGCATCTGTGAGCACACACTGAGAATCCAATATGGTGGTGAGACTGAACTAAGGACTACGCAGAGATAAGGTATTAGGTGTTGCATTCATCTCACCAAAAAGTTCATCATACTAAAGATAAATAAAATACTAACAATGACAGCAGAATTCCTGATTTTCCAAATCCCACAGTCATCAAATGATAGCAAGGGTGTGGTTTCTACAGATAGATCGATAGAGGACACTTAATGTGATGGAAAATGGAACAGAAACATGATGGTCCTGGATTTAAATCACAGTTCTACCGGGTACTATCTGTTTGACTCTGGGCAGGTCAATTCAACCTTCTCTCTGTATATCTGTTTCTTCAGTTATGGAGTAGAAGAATATAGCCTTGCTCACAGTCTTGCTTGCAGCTGCCTGCCAAACCACACCCCAAATGCCAGTTCCTTTGCCCTGACAAACAGTGAATTCCTAAGTACTGTGGGCTCCTTCAGATAGCTGCTCCAAATAGTGGCACCCCCACCCCACTCTCCAGCACAATCTCTGATCACCTCTCTCCATGCAAATACGGTAATAAATCCATGATATTAAAAAGTAGGGACACATGTGGTGGTGGCTCATGCCTTTAATCCTACCTCGCACAGGCGAGGCAGAAGCAGGCCAGTGTCTATGAGTTCAAGGCCAGCCTGGTCTACAGAGTGAGTTCCAGGACAGCCAGGGCTGTCTTTAAAAAACAAAAGTTGGGTTGGGGGAGACACAATCATAGACTCTTTATGATTGGTCAAAGTTCAGAGAAAAATAGAAGGTACTCTGATGCTACTTGTTCCTTTGAGCATTCTGCAGAAAAGACTAAGATGGAAGCTGCCCATTTGTGCCACTAATCATGGATTTTACATTTCAATGCTTACTTTCAGGAAAGGTGCCAGCCACCAAGCCTGACAACCTGTGTTTAATCTCTGGGACCTATATGGTGGAAGAAGAGAACTGACTCCTACAAGCTGTCCTCTAACCCCCAGCTGTGTCATACATATGTACGTACATACACACACACACACACACACACACACACACACACACACACACACAAACATAAACAAATAAATGTAACCATTAAAATTATTAATAGCCTGCTCTGCCTAGGCATTCTAGGGACAAATGAAGTCTGTGCCTTCAAAGAGTTTTTCAAATATTCAGAGAACAAGGGTTCAGGGATGACTTCATGGGATGAAGTAATGATGTAACAAGACACAAAAAAAATGTACTTAGGACAGGCAGTGGTGGCTCGGGCCTTTAATCTTAGCACTCAGGAGGCAGAGGCAGATGAATCTGTGAGTTCAAGGCCAGCCTACTCTACAGAGTGAGTTCTAGAACAGCCAGGGCAACACAGAGAAACCCTGTCTCAAAAAACAAACAAAACAAAAGTACTTAGGATGCTAGAGAAATGGTTTACTGTTAAGAGCACTAACTGTTCTTCCAGGGGATCCATGCATCCACATGGCAACTCATAACCATTAGTAACTCCAATTCCAGGGGATCCAATGCCCTCTTCTGGTTTCATGAGGCACCAGGTATGTACATGGTTGCACACACTTACATGCAGTTAAAACACTCACACCATAAAAGAATTTCAAAAATGTATTTAGGAGCCAGGCAGTGGTACCACACGTGTTTATTCCCAGCACTAGGGGGGCAGAGGCAGATGGATCTCTGAGTTTAAGGCCAGCGTGGTCTACAGAGTGAGTTTCAGGACAGCCAGGGCTACACAGAGACATCCCATCTCATGGGTGGGTGGGGGATTTAGATGCTACCTAAATATTCAAAGAGACCAGAAGAAGCCCTGGGGAGCTGGCTGAATTAGTAAAGTGCTTGCTGTGCAAACATGAGGACCTCAGTTCAGATCTCCAGCATCATTTAAAATTCCAGGTATATGGCGCACACCTTTAATCTCAGCACTCAGGAGGCAGGGGCAGGTGGATCTCTGCGAGTTCCAGGCCAGCCTGGTCTACAGAGCTACACAGAGAAACCCTGTCTCAAAATTAAAAAAATATATATCCAGATATAGCAGTGAGTGCCTGGATTCCCAGAGTTTGAGAGGTGGGGACAGAGGGATCCCTAGGGCTTGCTCACCAGCCAATCTGGTTGTATCATTGAGCTCCAAGTTCAGTGAGAGACCCTGCTTCAAAAAATAAAGTGGAGACCAATTGAAGAAGACATCTGCCCCCGGCAACCCCCCCCCACACACACTTGTAACACCAGCGCTTGGGAGGTGGAGGCAGGATGATTAGGTGTTCAAGGCCATTTTGGTTACATAGTGAGTCCCCATCTGAATGAATACATAAGAAAACTAAGAATAAATAAAGATAACTGAGAAATCTGGTCATTTCAAAGTAGAGTATCTTTAAGTAGTTAGAGTATAGGTAATTTTTCTTCACTTATCTGTATGCTCTTTAATGTTCCAGTTTTTCTACAATGAATAAAAAGCTGGTCCAACAGCAGAAACAGAAAGGGAGAAGTGAAAATCTGAAGAGTCAACCCAGTTGACAGGGCTCTCCTCGGGCTCCATCCCTAGCACAGCAAGTACAAGGGAAAGCTGGGGAAGAGGGCCTGTGGAGCAGCCATAAGGCATTCAGTCCTCCGTGCTGCCAAAGCAAAACCAAAAATAGTCAGAAACGCACAAAGCTATGCTTCATTTCTTTTCTTTTTCTTTTTTTTCTTTTTTTTTTTTTTTTTTTGGTGGGGTGCGAGGGGGGAAGGGGGAATGGATCCTTTTCTTTAATGTAAAGAAAAGAGTGGCCTCACAGCCAGTGATGTTGAGTGGATTTTCATACTCCATAGATTACAAGTTGGTCAGCTTCAGGCCTAAGCTGCTCCTTGATGAGTATTTCTGTCCATGTCCTCACTCCCCCATTATTCCCCCTCTCCCCTGAGCAGCTGCTTAGCAAGGGAAGCAGGCAAATCAGGAGAGAGGCCTCTTCCTCCCCTCTCCTGGAGGAGTGGCAGCTGCCCAATTCAGACCATATGTAGAACAAAAGTTGATGAGCTGCTCTTCTAGTCCAATTCCAATTCAAGGTCACAGCCATTATCCCCACACCACCATCCTCACTCCAGAGAAAAAATGAGATGAAAATTACAAGAAAACAAATTCATCTCTGAAAGCTGGGCAATGTGAATGCCTAGTGATACGGCAGTTGGAAAACCTCAATCAATGCAGAGAAAAGAATCAGTAAAACAAACAGCTCTTTATGCTGAGCTACTTGCAGCCAAGAGCCAAGAAAGAAGCAAAAACCAGTATGCCTTTCATCCTGCTGCCCATGAAGGTTGGAACACAATCCAAATCAACCTGTGCCTCACGTGAACTGCAGACTAGGCCAGCTCTTAGGATTGGACCACTAATGAAGACAGAAGCAGCTCTTGCCTTATAGAATTTAACATAATTCAGAACATAATCTGAAAGTCATAGTTAAATAAACAGAAGAATAAGGAATGCATGTTATGAAAGGAAATTTATATACCCTTTATTTCTCCTGAACATATAGTGTAAGGATTTAATAAGTTTTCTTTCTTTTTTTTTTTTGGTTTTTTGAGACAAGGTTTCTCTGTGGCTTTGGAGGCTGTCCTGGAACTAGCTCTTGTAGACCAGGCTGGCCTCGAACTCACAGAGATCCGCCTGCCTCTGCCTCCCAAGTGCTGGGATTAAAGGCGTGCGCCACCAACGCTCGGCTTTTAATAAATTTTCTTAAAGAAGATCAAGATGGCACCCAAGAAAAAATCGGGACTGGGCTGAGGATGTAGCTTGGTTGGTAAAAAGCTTGACTAGCAAGCATGAAGTCCTGGGTTCAATCCCCAGCACAGAATTAACCAAAACAAAGTGGCACACACCCTGTTAATCCCAGCACCTGGAGAGGGAGGAGCATTCTCAGCTACATAGTGAGTTCAAGGCCAACGCAGGTTGAAACCCTATCTCAAAATAAATACAGACTAGAAAAAGAAGGAGGGGACTGGGGAGATAGATCAGAGGCTAAGAGCACTGGCTGCTGTTCCAGAGGTCCTGAGTTCAATTCCCAGCAACCACATGGTGACTCACAGCCATCTATACCGGGATCTGACGCCCTCTTTGGCATAAAGCTGTATATGCAGATGGAACACTCATATACATAAAATAAATAAATAAATATTTAAAAAAGAAAAAGAGGGAGGGATTGAAAGAGGGAAAGGAAAGGGAAAAAGTGAGGAGCTAGAGGAAGGCAGAAGAATATTCAGACTCTACAGAGTATAAGCAAAGGTCTTGAAGTAGAAATCAAACCCTAAAGCAGAGAGGAGGGAAGGGAAGGATGAGTTAAA